TTTCCAAAAAAATACTTTAAAAAGCCTTAAGTACAACATTGCCTAGAATTATCTTGTCAATTAAATAAAAGAACCCACTTGAAGTAAGTGACAAAAACACACAGTGAATGAAACGCACCTTCCAGTAACAAATCGTTATTAAAAGAGACCTTTAAGCAAACTGCTAGTTACGTGGTCATGCTTAGACAAGCACAAGGTTATTGAAACATACAGCTTCCTTTCAGACAATTTAACTTGCACTGAAGGCAAATGATTGCCATTAAAGCACTGAAGCACGTTGCTCAGGTATTTGGTGTAATTCTGTTGGCTTCTAAAAGATTACCCTCCGCTGCACAACAATGTCGGTGGGATCAGATTGGGTCTGCATCTTCAGCTGCCATTACAAATACTGCCTGCAGTGTCTTCCTGCAGAAAATTGATACGTGCATCTGGTATTATTAACGAAAAAAGACAGGAAGCAATATTTTAATAGACGTGAAGATGCAATATAGATTTCTGACAGTAGCTGTAATGGAAATCGGTGAGACTGAGCCGGCTCACAAAGGACCTGCAAGGGGACTAACACAAAGGGCACCTAAACCCACCCAGTGCAGAAATCGTGAATAATAATTGTATTCACTGGGTAAGTTATGAAATATGTCGCAGATTTATAGTCTTTCCTGTTTTTTTCCTTTTTCTCAGCGCACGGAGAGTGGAATTTGAACAAGGCGGGGCGACAACAACCCGTGAGCAACAAAACTGCAAATGTTCTTGACGTGGCACCGGTGAAGTCATCCACGAGTGCCTTCCCCTTCCCTCTTTACGTGAGGGTTTGCATGGGCGTGGGGTTCTAGTTCCCCCTTCCTCTTCTCATGCTGGTGCTATTTTCGAGGCCTCCGAAATGCAGCGCGATGATGTTACAAAAGCAGGTTGCATCTGACACTGTGCTTGCAAGCTTGGCAGTTAGCTCCTTAACACGGCTCTAGATCTTTTCAGCTCTGCGGAGAGAGAGGTCTTCATGAAAAGACAGGCAGAGAATCGGGCTCGCCGAAGAACGCTGTTCACTCTCCGGCCATTTCCTCCCGCCCTGTCAGTATCGGGGATCGTGGATTTCTGCGCTTACCAGCATACCGTTACGTGGGCTTGCTCAGAGCCATGAAATAATAGGCAGGGGCCTATCCACGGTGTTATTCCTGGAACAAAATCCTTCTGCATCAGTGAAAAGTCTTAATGAAGACTTGGAATTTCCTTCATGAATCACGATTTTAGCACTACAAGCAATTCAATTTTTAGCTGTGTTTTACAAGTTTTATGCCAGCTACTGTACAGGGAATAAGAACATTTTCTAGGAGAGAGTTGTTTTCCAGTAGACTTTTTGATCTCTCTCTTCTAGTAACCTCATCTCGGGAGTCAGAAGTTAGGTTTCTCTGTTGTCAGAGGGGATTCAGAAATGCCTCCTGAGACAGTTTAGCGTCAAAAGTACCTCTGATGAAACCAGATCAAATGGGTGGAGAGGAGAACACTGCATTAAAACAGCATAAATTGGATGAAAACAGGCCAAATGTTAATCGAGGCAGTGAAAACGGAGGTCTGAAGTAGTCCCCTTCAGCGCTTTGCATCAACGTCTCATCTCCTGTAGGAGTTTGATGCTGCTCCCTTGGTGGTTAGCTGTAGTTTGGCCTTCTTTACACTAGGAAGTTTTGCGACTGCAGTTACACAGATGCACTTCCTCTTGTCCCAGGACTTCGATGCAGCTGTGCTGGTGTAGGGGTACTTACACCGATATAATGGTATAAATATGGTAGCTTTTTTTTCCAGTAAACAAAGTATGTGGTATCAGTGCATGGCAGCTTTATACCAGCTTAAATGCATACGTAATTTTATGTGTACCTAAAATATCTACAATATGTACAAGAATGATAGATGCTTCCTCTAAATACACAGTGGAGTTCTAGGGTATATATAACCAGCTCTGTATACAACCAGGGTTCTTTGCATCTGGCCTGTCCCAAAAATGCCAGCTGCTTGGCTGAAGGTGCCCTGCAGTCAGCCGTGGGTGGCAGGCCTCGCAGCTTAATAAAGATCCCAACGAACAAACGGCGCTTCCGGGCTCGCTCTCCGGATGCGTCTGAAAAGCGTTTCTGGATGCCCGTCGAAAAAACATGTAAACTTTGCCTTTGCAAAACAAAGGGATACACCTAAACACGACAGCTGTGCTGTTACAAATTTTCTCGTGTAGGCTAACTGGCGTTTCCCTTTGCGCTGAGTTTCCTCTTGTAATGGAAATTCCTCTCACCTAGCCACTAACACTGTTAGATGCTGTTTCTGCACTGGTTTGCTATATGTTGCAGCAGCAAGACAAAAATCACGATCTCCAACAGCTTACAGTCTGTCCTAAACTTATTAAGTTTCCATTGATTTGTGTTTGGGTCTTGTTGGCTCAAAATATTTTCTGCTAAGTATAGCTCCCTTCTCCTGAGCAAACAAGATGGGTTTCTTTTTTCTGCACCCTCCCGTCCTAATTTCAACAGCTATTTTGAACTCGGGGTGTGGTCACTGAGACAGACGGTCATGGACCGTCATTGCTTGTCTCTAGATTTGTTTGTGTTGCCAGTGACCCTTCTCCCCACCACCAACCTCATATTTACATTAATCCTTGATCAGCAAGCCTTGCTCTCCTTCCGTCTTTTAGGAGGCACGTAATAAATCTGAATAAATTCATTCATTTATGAATTCTGAAGTTGACCAACTTCCATGAGCACAAGGTGAAAAGTGTGAAATTACACTCCTCTGTGCTGGAGACAGGAGCCGTACCAGCGGGGACACTTGCTCCTGTGGCTACTGGAGGATCAAATGCCACTGATAGGGGTTTCTGTGAGGGGAACAAGTTTTAAATTCTGGCAGATTTACGAATCATTTCATCTCCTAGGCTTGTTCCCTCACAAAGAGCCTGGTGAGGGGAAGCCTGTGCAAAGGCTTCAGTTTTGATAGCTTTGATCAGCAGGCGCTGGTCCCACTGCTTCTAAAAGCAACAGAATCTGCAAAATATTTCTCAGATACCTATATATGTGTGTGTACATATACATAGGTATGTAGCCTGTATACGTTTTCTAATATGTCTATTTCTGTATAAAAAGGAAATGTACACACTGAGGTTATTTTATTTGCTTAATAATGCTACCTCTGTGTTTTTACTTTAATGCTACTTTTACTCCCCTCAGTTAAACAGAAAACACTCGACTGTCAAATCATCCCATTTAATTAAAACAGAGATGTTTTTTTTTCTTCCTATGATGCCTCTTGAAGAGTTCTGAAAGAGTAAGCAGCTCTCGAGGGGGGAAAGGATTCCAGGGCTAATGTCATTCGATGCAGGCTCCTTGGTGTTTGATATTTTACCCGTATTCTCAAATGAGCTTGAATTACGTTTGAAGAAAATGCTAATTCACGTATGAGCTGTTGTCTTTTCCATCACTGCAGAAAACAAGGATGTTGGCTCAACTAGACACATTTTTTTCCCCCGGAATTAGGTGGTAAGTCCCTCATCGTCATATAGCAGTAGTTTGGTCTTATGGGAAGAGAAGTAGTCACAGCTGTGTGACTTCTGCCTTCCAGCTTTTAGCCCTGCTGCTGTCCCGGTGCCGCTGTCCTCCATACCAGTATAATGGGATAGCAGTGGGGCACTTAGATTAATTAGTGGCTGTAAAGCCTGTGGAGCTCTTTGGTTAAGTGGTTCAAAGAAAACTCTTGTTCTAAGCGACCCCTGTTGTTCTTACCCGGGTGTCCAATTGCCGAGTGGGCAGACTGCTTGTGTCTAGAGCGTTAATTACCACGTGTCCCTTAATGGTGAAGGTTTGTAATCCTATTTCAGTCTGGAAATCCACGTGCCACAAGGCCCAGTTAACATCTCTGATATCATCGCCTGCTAGTCAATACGCAGCTATTAGCCATCCATAACTATTCCCGGTAAATTGCTGTGCAGACGTGACGGGACAAGTTTTGCCAAGCCGTGTTGGAAGATAGTTTAGCGAGACCAGTTAAAATAACACCTTAATTTGACGGCATTGGAAAGTCTCACATCACAACAAATATTTGTATTTAGTTTAAAATTTGTCTTGCAGAGGTTAAGGCTTCAGTATAAGTCTTCGCTTTTGTGAGGATCCCAAAAGATTTCAGATGGGTTTTCCTCCAGTTTTAATTCCTTTTTTTGTTGATTTCACACCAGCCTTCCGGTTCAGTGTAACTCAAGAATTCCCCTCTCAAAGGCTATTGTCACTGTTTCTAAATAATGAGTGCTACAGCATCTGTGGCAAAGGAATTTATAATTTTCACTTACTGCATCTTTAGGTTCCCGAAGAATGTCAGGAAGGAATCGCTATTCCGTAAAGCACAGCACGTTACAGAATAGATAAATTGTGTTTTCTCCTAATACTGGAAACCCTTCTCCTTTCTCCCCCCACATACACACTTCCCTTAATCACAAATAAATGCCACATGGAAAGAAAATCATTCCTTGCATAAGGGAAGAAACTCCAGATTTTCTGATTTCTAGACCTTACCATGGACGACTCCTTTGCCCACCACACTTGATTGTTCTGCCAGGTCCAGACAGCACAAGCAGCAGACAAATTTTCCCTGTTTGTAATCCCAAAGCTGATGAGTGCCTCACTTATAGTAAGGATCCTTGGGGTTTGGGTTTTCTTTTTCTCAGTCCTACTCAGCTCTTTGCCACAGGTCAGTTAATTACAGAGGAACAAAGATGGGGCAGGGATCCTTCTCTCCCAATGTAGAAAATGAGCCCTTCTGCTGCAAGGCTGCAGAGAAAGCGCTGTTGGACCGTGCTCTTGTAACAGATTCCGCCCCCCTCAAATTACGTGAGATATGAATGATAATTTTGCGGAGTGTTCTATCAGGTTTAAATTAGTAAGGGGAAAGGAATGTCTGTGTTCAGGTAGATGTCTGAATTAGCATTTTTAGAATTGTCATGCTATGTGTTTACAAAATGAACCTTTTTTGCCGTTTAGGTAAACTGAAACGTATGTTCCGCTGCGTGGCTTAATAGAGCAGTCGGAGGAGGAAGAACATCCATACTCCATCTCTGTGACGGCAAGATACACTTCAGAATGCTGGGGGAAAAAAAAAGCAGCGACTGCCGAGGGCATTTAGATAACGGAGACGGGAGCTCAGAGCCTCATCCTGTAAACATCACCGAGACGATGCCACTGCAAGGAGTCAGTTTGAAGTCAACCCCATTAACAGTAGTCATTGTTCAAACTGGAGCAGATCCACAACGCTTACTTCAGAGCCTAAAGCTACTTTCATCCCTTGCAATACTGGCTTCAGTCACACACAAAAAATCAATCGGCGTGCCAGTTCATTCACCTTGCAGGGTTGCTGTGTTTAAGGGTGCTCAGATGCATCCGATGTGATATACAAGGGTGCTGGCCTGTGTCAGGAATGTCCCGAGTAGAAGTTGTGCATGTTTCTAGCAACCTAAGAGCGAGTGTCATCAAAATAAACTTGAAGAAATTGTTGGCCGTCATCACTGGCATAGCAGACAGGAACTGTGCCTAGAAATAGAGATTGGCATAGCAACACTGCTGACTGTTTTGTAGAGAAGGCGGCTTATTTTTCCAGACCGCGACATTTAATAAACATTTTCTGTTTGTTGAAACTGCGGAACCTCACTAGATCAAACTGAATGCTAATCTGCTTGAGTCGCCACCACAGACTTTTGTCTCCAGTATGTACACATCACGAGTCACTGTGGTTTCATTGGTTTTGTCCTATGACATTTGTTCTTTTGTGTTTGTCCACGAAAACTAGACAGAACATGGAACGCATTGAAACAGCCCCACAAATCCTCCAGACGATGATTTATTTTGCGAGATCCTGTTTTATCTTGTCATTAGGGCTCTGTTAAGCTGCAGGCTGAGAGGCCCTTTGATGCAACCTCTGACTAGCAATCTGCTAGGGGGTCGATAGGCACCAGCGCAGCTGCCAGCTGTTCACGTATTCGCCGCCTTCCACCCGAAGCGTCGGGCCTTGGATTCACACTCCACACAAATGGACTGCGATACAAAGAGGAGCTTGGAAGCGCACGGCCTAAAAGCTCTGAAACACCAGAGCGTAAATAAACCTGACTCTTGGTTTGAAGCTTTTAAACGGGGCTTTTAAATCCAGATGGGCGTCTTGAACCCTCGAGAAACAGCATGAGGAGAAGGGTCCCACACAGGCGCCCGGGAGTTAGGCCCACGGGAGCTGAGCTGCCTCAGGCCGCCCCCCCCCTCGGGGCAGCA